AAGGAGAGAGAGAGGAGAGAGAGAGAGGAGAAAATATAACGGCCTAACCTACAAATAAAAAGAAACATAAAAAAATGAGGAAAACAAGAATATTTTAGGGGCAATCAAGTCCTTATGCAATAGTCTTCATCAAAAATCTATTGATACTGACCGCTGGACAGATTTATCATGTCTTGACAGCCTGTGACTTGTAGTTGGTACCTCTTCAATTTCATCTATCTCAGACGCATCTGCAGCATCTTGTGAGTAGCTATGCTTCATGACAAGGATATTTCTCCTGTTCATGGGCTGGATGAGGGGCTTTACAGGCTGGGGTTGTATTTCTGTCAAGATAGAAGCATCTCTTGTGCTGAGGTTACTACGGCTGCCCTTAGTGCTAGACAGTTGTGATCCACAGTGATGGTCATGAATGCATTTTGAAGATGATCGCCGCAGTTTATGATAATTTTCAAAGTCATCTGCAACATCTGCAAGGTCAGCTGCAGCCCCTGTCCCTCTAAGAGTACATAACTCATAATGAGGAGGCTCAAACACCTCCTGGAATACTGTTTGATCAAAGTCTGTTTTCCTTTGGACAAATTTTTTACGAGGTTGTTTGATCTGTACTATAACAGAGATAACAAGGAGGATGATCACAATGCAAGAGGTCACCCCAATTATAGTCCCACTGGTATTGGTAAGTTGGTCCAAAATGTTAGCCTTTCTTTTTTCTGTGTAAAGAAGAAAAGCACAGCATTAATATCCAATTTAAAAAGAAACACAGCCATCACAGTTTTGATGCTTAGCATAACGTTGTTTCTATTCTGTGTTTGAGTTTACAGAAGCAATTTTGTAAAAACAATTAAAATGTGGTCTTAATAAAAGATAGAGCAATCATATAGAGATACCACAACCTTTCCCCTTTGCCAAGTGATAATCAGGATGTAACCAAACTCAAAGATATGAAAGGCTAATTTCGTTTTTAAACACTGTCTTCAGTTTCATCCCCAAATCCCCATTGTATTCCAAAACAAATCATGAGTCTGCTACACAACACTTCTGTTTTACTTCCATCTCCCCTCACTAGATATAGGAGATTGGGAAATGAGATCAATGAAAGCAGGAACAGTTTATGGGGATTTAAAAATAAATATTTATTTGCATTTGGAACTCATCTGAACTCCTAATATTAATGAGCTGAGCTGATGGTATTCAAAGATTGAGCTGAATCAGGAGAAAATGGAGGAGTTAATCAAAATAAGGTTTCCAGGAAAAATCCTCTATCAGCCATTATTTATTTTATTTCCTATAACCGGCTTAATGAGTATGAGCCTTCAGAACACCACTGGCCCCAGCTCAAAGGTTGATCCTACACACTATCTGTACCTTACTATGGGCTGCCAAGTGCCTATCTCACCCATTGTTACTATAGGGAAGAAAGAGAAATTCTCCCTGCCTGCTAAAATACCTGTCCCAGCATTCAGTGGACTCTCAGAAAGGGAATTTAATTTCATCTCCCTTTTCTATGTATTTCTCTGTGGTTTGCTTCCTAATTTACAGGTGCCTGGGTGGGCTGATGATGGAGCTCAATGGGAGTTGAAAGAGTTCAGCACCTCTCACTAACAGGAACTTTAGGTACATGACTTTCAGTGGGAAATTGTGAATAAGGTTTAACTTTTAATTCAGCCTCATTTCTACTGTCATGCATTGGTGTTACTTCAAAATCAAAAGCATTCACAACAAATCAGCGACACCCACTGCTTGGCCTGCAAGCACCTTTTCTTGTGGCCTTCATGGTATTTAAAGTGATGCTTCACTCCCCATTGGACTGCTACTGTAAATTGGTTCCAGGGTCCTCCAACCAAGTGAAGAAGACCTGGCAGCAGCACCAGATTCAAAAAGCAGAAGCACCACAATCAGCCTATTTGTTTGCTGGATCCAGCAAATCTACTTCTCTAGTAGTAAGAAATATAATGGGGAATAAATAAAAACATGAATTAGTGGTAACGGTACTGCTTCAGCATGGCACTTAGACAGTGGGAGATGAGATTCATTCTAGAAATTAAAGGGAGGAGTGGGTCTCCCCCCTCTTGTTTTTAACTTATGAAGAAAAAAGAAAAGCGATATAGCTTTTCCTCAACTGTAAGCCTAGCTTCTGGAAGGAATATTACTCATTTTAAGTGCCTCATTGTGTTCATTGCCGGTATGAGTTCATTTACATTTTATTTTCTTTCTTTGCTTGTCAGAGGATTTTACAGACTTCAGTGGACTTATAAGCTGACTGTTAAGCCACCCTCATTTTTTCCCCTTGATTGGTTCCTAAATTTGGCTTATCCCATGTTTCCAGGATCAAATCTGCAGTGACAGAATAAGCAAATGGTGTCCACAGCCTCAAAGGAGAGTTAGTTAAATTATTTTTTTCTGAAGAAAACAAATGCTGAATTTTTCAAAAGTAAAGGGAATCTGACATAGGCCACCTGGAAATCAATGCCACCACCTGATCAGGAGTGCCAATATCTCTCCATGACACAGACATCATGCCTGCTTTCCTGTATCTATTCTTTACATTTCAACTTGACTGTGAGATTATACATGGATTTGGCTACTTGATACAGAATTACTCCTGCTGCGCCTGGGGTTTCAGTGCTGCTGTTATTAGCAACAGGCATCACAACTGGAAAAACTGATTTCAAACATGATAAGGGATGCTTTTTCCCTACTTCCCCAGCCGTCCACATTGATGTCAAAGTAGCTAGTGATAGCTTAAACCAGGGATCGGCAACGTTCGGCATGCAGCTCGCCAGGGTAAGCACCCTAGCGGGCCGGGCCAGTTTATTTACCTGCTGACGCGACAGGTTCGGCCGATCGCGGCCCCCACTCGCCGCGGTTCACTGTCCCTGGCCAATGGGGGCGGCGAGAAGCGGCGCGGGCCGAGGAATGTGCTGGCTGCAGCTTCCCGCCGCCCCCATTGGCCCGGGATGGTGAACTGCGGCCAGTGGGGGCCACGATCGGCCGAACCTGCCGCGTCAGCAGGTAAATAAACTGGCCTGGCCCTCTAGGGTGCTTACGCTAGTGAGCCGCGTGCCGAACGTCGCCGACCCCTGGCTTAAACCTTTCTTTCTCCTCCTAGCCCACTTCATAAAAGAGCAAATACACCTTTATGCCCCACCTCCTGCCCCACTACTGTAAAGGTATCTATGACATGGACTCCAAAGCTGAACAACAGACTTTAAACCTCACATATACATGAGAGACAGCCAATGGGTCACAACCTATATAACCAAGTTAAAAGCAAAGCAAAATGGCAACATTTTATGCAGGTTCACCAGTGTTTTCATCCCTTTACTTTTTCTTGGTTGTCTGCTGTATACTGCCCCCTATTTGTCCTTGCTTGAAGCCTTAACCCATAGGTCTGGCACATAGGTTAATAAGTCACTGAGTATAATCATGCTGTTCCCTACATAGTTAAATATCTTGACAATTCCAGTTTTATATACCTATAAATTACCTTTACAGTGGTTCTCATCCCAAGGATACACACAGTTCTGGAGTCCATTGCAGACCAATGTATTATTAATACACATATTACTATGGCAAAAAAATGAGTTGGCTTCACAGGGGGCTAAAAACAAAAAGAAGGAAAACCAATATTAAGCAGTAAGTCACTCACCTTTCAATACTAAGAACACCTAGGAATGACGTAATCTTAAACAGCAATTAACTATATGACAGAGCTTCCTCAGAAGCAGTAATTCTTTATTATACTAGTTGCACCACTCAACTCTCAAATCATTCACAGCATACTAATCTGGGGCACAGGATTTCTCTCATGTTTAAGATGGATGGGACTATTGCCCAATTTTTTTTTTATTCTAATAAATATTTCAGTTTAGAATGTGTAGAAACTCAGTTCTAGATAAAATACTGATATTAATGCTTTAAGAGATTGATCTACCTATGTACTTATTTGACTTATATTACCAGCATCTGAACATAACCATTCCACAGGAGATAAAATACTTTGAATGATAAGAAAGGAGAACTACAATGCAAATTCGTCCTTCTGATAACATATGTACAAAGATTATAAAGCTCTATGAGCCAGGGGTAGTGCATAGTTCCCCTAAGGTGCATAGGCTGGTGGGATCAAGTCAATAATACTACTAAAGTCTCAAGATGAAAGTTGTTCTGAAGGCCATATACTATCAGTTTGCACGTGCAAAATCAGTGCCATCAACAGGAATTGTACATGCTTATAAATGAACTATGCCGTTCAACTGCTGAAAGTCCTCGTGTATTAGGCTGGTAAGAATTCTCCTTCAAAATGCTTTAAAAGGGTAAAATTAAAATATTTAATGCTACATATATAAAATGTCATTTCAGTAACATTTCTTTTATTAAAAGAAGAAATTCAAAGAATGTTTTAGCATTTTTAATGGCAATTGTTTAGTTATATCAGAGTAAAACCAATATAAACACATTAGTTTAAGCAAACGTTTGTGGTCATATAACACTGAAAGCATTTGCTTAAAAAAACGGAAAGTTGTTAAATGATCTAATCACGTTGATTAATCTGAAAGGATTGTGATGGTCACAATAATGACTTTAGAAGTCAACTGCTGTTCTCATGAGAGCATGTGTCCTATGCTTTTTTTAAGTAGGATTTATGGTCACACACATGCTTGGTATTGAGACAGACGTATTTTAGAGCAGTTGCAGATTTACAGACTAAGAACAGTACAAAGGATTTATACTGTGGAACTTCATGACTTTCTATATCACATAAAAAGAAATCCACTTTTTAAAAAGTGCCTAACTGCAGATTTCCATAATTGACTGTAACGGCTTCTTCAGAGCTGTTACAGTCTGTTAAGCAAATAATAAATGTTATCAAAACTTGTACATTTCCCCAAAAAATACAGTCACCCAATAGAACATAACAGCTATAATCTGTATTTTCAATTTTAGCACATACACCAAAAGCGACTTAATTAGCCAAGCAGATTATAATGACTCCAATAAAGCAGGTATGCTCCATCAGCTAAATAATATGCCTTTTAAAAAAGCATAAATATGTATCTGTCTGATCATAAATATGTATTTCTGTGATAGCACCTTAATGTTTTTAAAAGGTCTTTCATGCTTACCCTCAGACTCCCACTCCCCCCGCTTGTTTTCATCATCGTGTTGCTCTTAAAAAAATGCCAACCCTATAAATTGGTACAGTAAAATGTACAATACTTGTCAAAGTACAGCTGGGTGAAAACTTGCCCTACTTGGCTTACATGGACTCCAGAGGTTGGGGGATCTATTCTTCTGTTTGAATCGTTGAAGGTTCCACCCCCATGACCATTTGAGTTTGGAATTTAAACACCACATTTCATAACCAAAGTTCAGCTAAGCTGAAATGGCTGGATTTCACCTGGCTTCCACAGAAAACCAACAGACCAGAGCAGCTTTGCTAAAATCTTAGTCCAGTTTGTTCAAAAGGCTGGGAAAAACTTCCCAACCTTGCCATGGCCCCAGGCTGAGTTTTAAGTTTGTTACAAGGAGGTTGATATTCTAAATTAGACAGAAACACCACAATAGCTGATCATCAGGCTTGAGAGCAGTAAGAGTGAGAGACTGTGGTAGGGATGCACACCTATCAGCAGATATGTGCTACTGCCGCAGTCTCTCTCTCTCTCTGCTGCTATCGTTGTGTGGAGCCACCTGGCGGTGAGGGCTGGTGGAGACACCATGTTATGTCAAACAATTGCCTCCATCTGAGATATTATTGCATTTGTACATTATAGCATCAGTCAGAGATCCCAATCAAAATAAGGAGCCCTATTGTACTGGGAGCTATACACTGTATATATACAAAGACAGTCCCTGATTCTAAGAGCTTATGCTCCAAGGAAAAAAAATTCACACAGCCAGTCATGCTGAGCTATGTGGATATATGGCAAGGAGGAAGTAGAACACAGGGGAAGGGGACCAAAAAAGAATAGATTGGGAGAGAAGAAAACAGGAAGGGAAAGGAGAGACAGTAAGAAGTTTGAAACAACAAATTAGAATAATCAAAACCTGTGGTGAGAAAAGAACAGCAAAGCTAGTCTCAGAGCATGGAGAGAAAGGTCTGAAGCAGCATTCTGTCCCTGAAAGTGTAGAGACACTTAGATGCCTATGTCTTGTTCTGGCCTTAGTAAATCCTAGCTGCTGTGGTCCTAAGCACCAGAGAGGAGACTAACATTGGAAAATCAATCCCAATAAGGGGAATTTGAGGAGTGGTTTGAGGGAAGAATAGGATGTCACAATGCACAAGGGTTTTTTAAAGGCAGAGGAAACAAGATCAAACTAAGGAAAAGAGAAAGGAGTAAGAGGTTGAGAATAAAAGAAAGAACAGCTGAGTGATGGAACTATGGAGGAAGGAGGAAGCAGGTGGAGGATAGGTCATGGGGTTAAATGTGTAGAAAAGAAGGACAGCCTCAGAGCCAGTCTAGATGAAGATGAACACAGTAACAGCAATCAGAAACCCAAATGTAACAAATTCATAAATCTAAAAAATAAGAATATACACCATGTTTTAGATGTTTAAAGTAGTCAGCTTCTCAATATGATGCCCTGAACTTTGGGAAAAGCGTAAAACAGTCAATTAATCTTTGGGATTTTTTGATTAGCAGTTCTTCTGGGAGCAAAGGATGAGATCTAGCAACATTGAGGGTTTATCAGTCCCCCAGTACATAGGGGAATTTGCTCCAAAGTGACTTCTGCATTTTAAAGAGACAGAGCAGTGAAACTCAGCAGAGGAGTTTCTGAGCCTCACTACTCCAGAATGTGGGCATCTCAGTCACTCCAGAAAGTAAAAGAGAAGACTAGGGCTGACTGGGCCTGATATGGCATCCCCTGAATATAGTGAAGAGATTTAGCTGGTCATTAGGGTCCCCTGAAGAAGATGGCACAGAAGATAGAATGAAGATGGCATCAGGTAGAGTGAGATGGTTGATCATAGGGTTTGATGAGATGCCTGAAAGTTTCAGAAATTGACGGTGAAAAAGATCAGAGTTCAGGTTGTGTGTTACTAATGTTAGGGGAGATTTTAAATTCGGGGGTAGAGTTTTATTGCTCACAAAAAGTAGCTTTTTATATCACTAGCTACAGCTAAATGCAATGTGAGAAAACATAGCACATGCTTCTCCACACAACTCTGCAAATGCTCCTGCAAAATGCTTGCTATTCCAGACTGGAACCTCTCACAGCAGACTTCCAAGTTAGGTGTGATTTCATGAGTTCCCAAATGAAACTTGAATAGTAGACTGACATACCCACACTCATTTTTCCCCTGCATCCCAGAAAAGACTTAGATAAAGATCCCAGAGGAGATTGGACTAGAAGTTCGTAATGTATACTCATTTAGCACAGTGATCAAATTATAACACAACCCATCATATTAGCTAACTTGCTCTATTTTTCTTTTGTAACTTTAAAACTTTACAATTTTAATTCAAAACATAAGAAAATTCTAGTTTTAAATAGTCCATATCAAACTAATGCACCAGTTAAAGGCAGTTTTAAAACCAATACTTTTCCCAACTGCCATTTGAATTGCTGCCCAGTCATTTAAGCATTATTTCACTGCAGTGCTACAGTGTATGCCATGTTACAAACACAGAGAATCTTTGCTTTCTGCTTGATTCACATCCTCTCAGCTATTGAAAATGTTGGACACAAGATGGTGCACTAATACCAGAGGATCTAAAAACACATTCAACACTCAGCATATGAAGTAAATGGGTGACCTCCGCAGAAAGAAAGAAAAAAATAAACTGTTTCTTCTTACAGCACTCGTTAGGGACAATAACTAAAACCCCAATATATAAAAGGTACAAAATGGCCTCTCCCCTGAAGGCCTAGTGTTTGGGGGCACTCATCTGCAAAGTTGGACACCCAAGTTCGAATCTCTGCTCCCAATCAGGCACCACCTCCTTCTGTTTTGTAAATGGAGCCTAAGTCCCCTTGTGAATCTACTCTGTTTTCCCCAAAAAACTATTCAGTAAATTTGTGTCAAATTATTAAATATTTTGGTCAACATCAAACCACACTTTTCAGCAAATAAACCAATCGTCCAAAATTTTTTGCACAGCTCTAATTGAGAGTCATTCCATATGCCCAGTTTATATAATACAAAACAAATGAAAGCAGTATTTTTTTATTTGTTCAAAGCCTAATTTGCTGCTTTTACCTCTAGATAAGGTAAAGTAAAGCAAACAGTCCTCTCAGAAAGAAACATTTTATATATAATTCAAGCAACTATGATTCAGGAATAGCCTAAACCTGTACTACAACCCAAAGAGTATATGATACACACACATTTATATGCAGTATATTTGATGTCTATGTAGAATGTGAGTGAAATATACTATTTACCTTCCCTTCACCAAATTTCTCTAAGTTTACATGGCTATTCTAAAAAACAAACACTATTATACAGCAGTGTCAAAATATTTGTACAAGGTCAAATCCTGACTTGTCATTGAACAGGGGAGGCCAGAGCTTCACAACCGAGCTGAGCTCAGTTACCATGGAATGGGTAGTGAATTCTCAGAGGCTTGCCCTCTTCAGGAAAAGCAATGGAGCAGC